AGTTTGGGTTATAAGCGATACTTTTTATTTTGTCTTCTCGATTATATAGGGTATTAAAGACAATAGAAGCTAATCAACAATGCATATTCATATTTAGGGACGTGTTAACAAAAAAAAAAAAAAATATTCAATGAAAAAATTCGTTATTCCAGCCGAAAAAGAAAAAAAAATCAGAAATAAAATGTGTTTTTTGACTCTCCTGAATACTATGAATTGTGTCGCCTAAACCCTTTTGCCGTGTAACCATCGACATTGCGTTATATTATAATATTTTTTTTTTATTCATTTTTATCCGTGTAAACATTTAATTATTTTATTAATAATTTCAATTTTTTACAAGTGCGCATTCAACAATAAACCATAAGATAATAATAGTAATGATTATAATATAATATTTTTTAATACATCGAAGAAATATTAACGAAAACGACAAAACAAAAAAGATCCGATACTGGGGGTTGGAGTGGCCTCTGTTGTGGGAGAGAAGTTGAGAAGGTAGGTTATACATAAGGTTATTTCAACAACGATAAACAATTGCTTGACGGAAGAAGATTCCGAGCGCAGTTCGGTAATACACAATTTGAAGTGTCGTCATTTTTTTTGCGATTTTCGATTTCAAAACGTTTATGAAAAAAAAAAAAAAAGTCGTTCGATGATTTTGAAAACTTCACCACACTTACGTAAGTCCAATAAAAGTATTATTACTAAGTTTCAAGTCTCTACGTTTATTTATAACCGAATTACAGCAAAAATTCTTCCAGAAATTAAAATTCCTTAAAAGCTCAAAAGTGGCTCAAAAGTTTTGACGATGATACCATAAGAAAGTAAATAAAAAAATCCAACAAAAAAAGTGTCTTGTAATTTTTCGATTAAATTATTTTCTCCGTGTTTTTTTATAAAACAATGAAATCGTGAAATTGTACGTTTTCCTACGTATTTTTCCCCGCTGAAGTGCTTTTATTTAAAAAATGACGTCGAAAATCAAAAAAATAACCTATTTAATATACCATCTAGACAACTTGAGCTTTTCAGAAGAGTCGCTACGCGTATAAATCGGAGCAAGTTTACTAAGAAAAAGCGTGTCCACAAGACACTAAAACGCTAGAACAAAAAAAAATAAAAAGAAACATCCTAGCAAAACCAATAGCTCCCGAGCTACGCCCGGAATCCGAAACGTAGTCCGATTGAAAATAAAATATAACATTCGAAGGTTGTCGTTCGTATGGATTGATTTTTTTTTTTTTCATCTGTCGTCCCGTCCGACCGCTAACAAATTACGTTCGTACGAAAAGCGTTCCGTTTCGCGTGACCTCTTTGTGTTATTTTTCAACACGACAATAATATTGTTCGCCCCGTCGTCAACACATGAAATATACAGAAGAAGCGTTTTGTTTTTTTCTCGGGGTTTTTTTTTTTTTTTTTATTCCTCTTCCCTCCCGTCCGGTCGTCTTGGCGACGTGAACTCTGCGCCCATTACCTTTTTCGTGCTATTTCCGCCCGTCTATATTGCCGATTTTATGAAGCAGTTCTGCGCCCGGCGTTTTTATTCTTTTTACCTTTTGTTATCGTATCGCTTTGCCGGTACATTATACCGGACGAAAGAAAACAGTTTGGGCAGTCCGGTGGACTGAACATCGTTCTAGTGTGTCATACTGTTTTTCGTTCGTGTTACCACGGATATTCGCACAGCACAGGGCTTAAACTAAATTCTATCCACTATAATAACGCTAAAATTATGAGGACATAATAGTATAGCACTCTGGTGCTGTTACGAAAAACACCTAAACGCCTAATTATTGAAATTTTCGCGGGGATCCCACATTCGTTCAAGTAACAAATATAGCCCGTGTTACTCGGGGATAATATTAGCGTTCTAACGGCGAAAGAATTTTTGTAATCTTTGGTCCAGTAGTTTTTGAGTTTATTCGCAACAAACGTACAAATCGTTCCTCTTTGTAATATTGGCGTAGATCATATTAATTTCGGGCGGATTTAAATTTCTAGCGATCAGTCCGCTTTACATAAAACGTCAGCGGGCAATGATTTCGATTGCGCGGACGCAGAGTGCACGCCACCGTGGGCTTTTGCGCGAGATGTCCGCGAGGGGTCGATTTCCAGCGAGCGGTTTGTACGGCGCGGCTGTTACAATATCGCAGCATTGTCGTTACCATCGCCGCGTAATAATAAATAACGAGCGTCCAGAGAGACAGCCCACGAGCGAATTGCCCACGAGCGAATTCCTCAATATCAATTATAATTGTAATATTTTTTATCGAAAAACCCGATCTCGTGCACGGGAAAATGTCAACAACACGGGCATACAAACCACAGTACACTTTTACAAGCATACGAAAAAAAAAACAAAAAAAACCAAAAACATAATAATATCGTTTTCGGAGTAACAATAATGACGAGTGGATATCAGATACGTAATCAGAATAATGTAAATAGCGTGATTTACGTTTTGTTTTCCGTGCGCATACGGAGACCCGTCAATCGCGTTCATCTATTATTTGTTTTCTCACGTTTATTCAATCGTCGTTCTTCTGGGTATTTTAAAACGGGGTGTTTCGGACGAAAAAGATCGCAACCGTTTTTCGACATTTTTATTGGCTTGCGTTTACGTTCAACAAAACGGGAACGTTAGAGGCCCGGGGTCGTGCGGCATTTTCAAATTTGACTCCGAGGACAAATCGATTTTATCGTGCGGCTGCGGTTCGCCGTGTTGTAATCCGTCCGCGCGTGACGAAAACAGACGGAGCGACGATTCGCGCTGCGCGTCGGACGAATTATCACCGTCCGCACCCGTCGGGTCGAGTGTAAACACCGTTTCCCGCGTTAATCTGACGTCGCGCATCGGTTCGCACGGCGCGAACATGTTTTTGTGCGCGTGTGATTTTTCGCGTTTGTGCAGTCGCGGCGCGCGCACACTCCGTGTGCGGGTTGGTTTGATAGGAAAAAAACAAAAAAAAAAAAAAATTAAAAATTAAAAATAAAATAAAAATATCGCGCTACAATTGATAAGGAATTCGCTCGTCGGCTGTCTGGCGGACGGCCGTCAAATAAACACGCGCGTCCGTTATGATTTTCAGCGGCCGCCGCCGCTGCCGGGTGAACGACCTTATCGTACAATTACAATAATAAACGCGTACAACGCGGCCGCGGTACGCGGGCATACGATACGTTATTATCGCCGAATACGATATCGATTTAGACAGAAAAAAAAAAAAAAAACCACAAGTAAACGTTTTCGTTGCGCGTAGCGTCGGGTAACGGGCGCCCGCCGGAAACGTAATTTTTTATTTCGCGGAACGGGCCGCCGCCGCCGGTCCGCGCGGTCGTTGCTGTCCGGTGTACCGCGCGACATCGGAGCGACGACGGTCCAGGGCTAGGGCCGGGGGCTTTACGACCTCGAGACGATCGACACGCGCACTATGCGCTACAGCGACGCAATTACGTGTGTGTGCGGGGAGGGGGGGGTGGATACGTACGGCGGATAGATTTCGTCCTTGCCGTTTTTTTTTTCATTTTTTTTTTTTTTTTATATAAACACATTCTGTAATATTTTATGTGATACACCGATATATATATATATTAGTATAATATACGATATTGTACACCGACATCAAGTCGCTTTGTTATTCATCTGCGAGTATCATTACGCAATAATAACAACAAAATCAAAATGGGATTTTCAAAAAAAAAAAAAAAAATGCATAAATTCGAACTGTTTATAAATATTGTGTGTGATGATGGTTTGTGATTGTAGACTAGATTAAATGGGGTTAGATGCGTTGTCTTGTCACAGAGACGTCGAGGCCAAGACAGACGAAGTTTTCAATATCGGTTGTGCATAAACACCAGACAACTTGAATTTATTTTTTAAACAAATTAATAAAATAAAATATCAGAATATGAATACTAGCTATTAACGTGCATTGTTATTAAATCTCTACGCGGGGAAAACTAAAGTCAAAAGCTAGACCCAATTTGATTTTATGATGAAAGATTATTTTTGGGTGTGATAAAAACATTCAGAGTGTTTAACCATTTTCGGGGGACTATTATTAAAAGTTTTGGGATGTCGTTCGACTCCTTCATACTTAATACATCGAAAGTCAATGACGAAATTTCATATCCTCTCCATAATAAAATCCTATGTACACCTGCGACGCGTTAAAACCATATTATTATAATATATTATGTGCAGTGACGTCATTTGGGGAGGGGCAGGGAAGACATTTGCCCCCTCTTCTCTTGTTATCAGTGGGCCTCTATATTGGGCCGGGTGCGGGTTAGTTTTGGACCTTGATTTATCATTCATGTTGCATACGGCCGCTCTGAGCTGTAGTTTTTTTTAAGATTCATTTGTGATAAGTATGATAATTGTATAGAAATATATTTTTTAGATTCTGAGTGGAACGAGGATGAAAGCATGCTCCGATTATCAAGCAATGCGCCTTTTCTGAAATGAAATGTTCTCTGGGTGGCACTTTAAAGAGGTTAATTTGTTGAAATTCTCATTAATATTCGAAATGATGAAGAAAACCTCGGTCTTTAGCTTAAATAAGATTGAAAGATTAAAAACAACGTTGTCATCGGCAACCGTTTTTTATTAATTTTTTGTTATTATTAAGTTTTCATTATTTTAATCATTTTTAAACAATCATTGTTGTCACGGAAACGCACATTGTTGTTGTCATTTTACCGTAATATAACATATACCATATATTGTACCGTCGACAAAGCAACACTATTAACTGAGCTCCGCTCAGAATCGGTTAGCAATGGTTCATTCAAGAAACCTGGTTAACAAGTGAAACACTACTTGTCGTCGCAGTTTGGTTAGAAATTGGATACTTTCTTCCTTGTTCCATTCCGTGAAGAATCACTGATGCACCCGAAAACTCGTAGAGTAACGCACGAGATTCAATATTTTCGCTCGTACTACCCGTTTCTATAACTATAATTTGTATAAAAAAATCCCGAATAAATATCAATAGTTATTTTATTTTCTCGTTGTGGTTTTATTAAATAAATCGGCATATTTCGCATTGTGGTTAAAACGTCTTGTACACCGGTTACTCTTGAATTGTTGTCGAAAAAATACGGAACGATCGGTTTTCGATGAATCAAACTTGGCGGTCATTGTTCTCACTTCGGTTTGTCTTACGGTGTCAGGCGATTCGGACTTCAAACCAGATGAAACTAATAGACACACATATTTAAAGCTATAAACAAACATAATGGACTTTATAAAATTACTATTGACAATTGGCCAGTGGCTTCCTGGAACTCGTGTTGAAGTGATCTTGTTTCGTTTCTCCCATTTGTTTCTTTAGACGAGCTAATCCCACTATCTCGATCGAAACTTTCTCGACTAAATCTTTTCCGGACACTTTCAAACTTGTCGCTAGTATTATTTTTTTTTCGCAGATTTGTTATCAATCTGTTTCGAGCTTTTGAATTCTCGAATTCAATTGAACGATTTCAATGACCATTTTCTCCGCCTAAAACAACACGCTGTTATTATTTCGATACATCACGTAGGAATAATTTATTTTGATAACATCGCTGTAAATAGGTTTTTATTAACATGTGATACACAGACGCCCGTGCCGTAATGTTATAAAAAAAAATGTTACGCGAAATGAAAACGATAAAAGACATTACGATTATTTGAACGTAATTTGTATTTTATTTTTTTTAAACGTACCTAACCGATTGGATCGTATTATATTGCAGTTTTATTACCATTGCGTTTGCGATTTACATACGTCCGAGTGCCCGACGGTATTTGTGTGTACTGCGTCGTTATTTTTATTAACCGACTGTTTTATTCGTACAGATCGATATCGGTTATCGCGCAACGTTATACAAGACTATTGTTATTATGAAACATAATAAACGGAATAACGTTTTTCTTCTTTTTTTCGTGACGTTCGTTAAAATGAATCAAAATCAAATATTACGATTATTATTTAGCTGTGTAGAACGCGGGTGTAGACGTCATTATTATTGTTATTATTATCGAACGGTGTTCAGTAGTTAAACACGCACAAAGTTCGTTCCCTAGTCGTTTTATTTACCGGAGTGGGTACATGCGCCTTACAAGTACAGATATAAAACGGACATCACGGTGGGAAACGGTAAAAACAACAGACCGTCGTCGTCGGGGGGGGGGAGGAGGAGAGGACTAATTGGGGACACAGTCTAAAAGAATAGTCTTGTTTTTAAAGACCAAATATTTTGTGGAGCCTTTTTAAGAGGACGGAGAGGAGTGGATACGTAATTCGTGTTCTATAAACAAAAAAAAAATGTCCTGGGTGTAAGCGGTCCTACGAAGAAGCCTACAATTTTAAACCGTCGTGAAACCTAGAAATAAAGGACAAAGAAAAATGGAAAATGCCACGTCGGGTATATACCGAGTTAGAAATGTCACGAGGCGGTGCGATAATGCACAAGAACCATTATGATACGGTGTTACCGAATGGCAATACATCTACTATGATATTTCGAGAGGGAGCCGCGGTTGACTATAGTGAAAATTCGGCCCTGTACTTCGTTTTTCGTTTCTGTGTTTTGAACTTTAAACTGCAGCGTTTTTCAAAATATTATTTTATAACTATCGATTTTGTTTTTTTTTTTTTTTTTGTATTTTAGGGTTTTGGATTACTTTGAGTTTCACCGTAGTCCATGTAGTAGGTATAAATACCTATTCCGTTTTCGCTCAATCACGAATGAAACCATCCAATTAAAGACAATGGAAAAAAAAAAAAAAAAACTTCCGCAACTGTTACTGATTAGTGATTAGTATTGTATTATTTGTAAATATATGCATACACGCCGGTACGGGCACAATGATAAATAATACGATTTCGTGTGCAATACAGGCGTATCGCGTGTCGAAAATAACGCGCGGCACTATCCTGCGGCCCGCGCGTTGAGCAAGTGCCACGTTTATTTCGGATCTCTACGGGTACGTGATTGTGATTTTTCTCGTACAAATTTCAGTCAGTTCGGCCGGACGCGTTATTATTCTATACATTCGAACGTTCGCTACGGGTAATAATCAAATATACCAAAACGACGCGATATCAGTGTCTCGTAGCGGTGCTACACGCCGCAGAGTAGAAATACAAAATGGACGTTTCGCTTAGTTTCGACATAATATTGTGATTATACGACAACGCCACGTTTTAAAAAGTTGAGTTTTTGGAATTTAGAACACAGAGTTTCAGAGAAATCGTGTTTTACGGATATAAATCTTTTTAGAAATACTGTATATATATACGAGTACGTTGTACGTATTACGTGTTGTCGATGTACCTAAATAAACAATTCTTTAATGTTTTACAATAAATCGAGAAAACCATTTTTACGAATACATAAAAGATAATGTATTTATGTACACGCACCCGTACATTCTATACGTGCACGTTTGATGTCGAAACACTTACGTTGAATATATTATTATCGTTGAAAAAAAAAATCAAAAGAAAATCTATACGTTTTACAATCTGCATCGTTTTATTGTTGCAAATTATTATTTTTTAACAGATCGTACGTTAGTAAAATGTCAATTTTAATGCAACTATAAGACAATGTGTATGATTTCAAAATAATAATTAATCACAATACTGTGTACATAATTATATTTGTACTTATCTCATCCTAGTTGATCCTGACTGTATATCTTATCGCACTTATGTAAAAAAAAAAAAAAAAAAAAAAATAACAATTATCATATGCAGTATAATATCTAGCCGCCAACGGTATTAATAAAATATTTTAATACATTATAATATTATTTTACGCGATCGTCACCGTTGCCAGCGTTAATAATATTACTTTGTTGGAGTATAATAGATACGTCTACTCAGCAAAATATGCGGTCGTCGGCCGTAACAGTGGCGGCGCGCGGCTATACACTGTCACGGGCTGATGCGTTTATTTTATACAAACGATTAAGAAGATTATTAATATGTTATCTTGAAAATCGTTCTTCTCCGGGGTTTCGGGTGTAATGCCCGGAGAACGAGCCCAGTCAGCGTTTAAATAATTATTCAAACTAACTTTAAAGTATTGTTTTTTTATACTTACATGGAAGACTCGTTCTGCCGTGTCAATTAGTTTGATGTGTTCGAGTACAAACACGGTTTCACGATGTTATCTAACGTTCTGTAGCACTTACCGGGCGAATTGACATCTATTTATGTATATATATACTCAACTATACGATTAGTAGTCGGAACAGGCCCGACGAGAAAGGGGTGGAGGTCGGGGTTGAAGGGGGGCCCGGTATGTTAAAGCGAAATAAAAAATAAGTCTTTTCGTAGTTTTTAAAAATCCGAGCCCCCATTAACATCCGGTAAAACCCTGGTGCGAAAAAAAATTGTATTATTTTGATTTTTGAACAAAATGGTGAGGGGGTTTGTATGTCGCTGCCCCCGGACCCAAATTTTCTCTCCACAGCCCCGAGTGAGTTGAAATAGTGAACTACCAATAGCTGGGACAAGGGAATCGGTGTTAGAACACCGCGGCGCCCAAAGAGTAACATTCCTCGGCCGTCCGGTCGGTAAAGCCAATTACCGAGTTCTAGAGTAAAATTGTTGATGTTTCACATCATTAACCGATCGCCTACAGTTTTGTGTTTTGTTGCCGTGTACGTACGCGAATCTTGCGTATACGACAGGCTGACGCCCAACGTGGGACTCGAACCTCGGGAACCCGAAATTAAGAGTCTTGTGCTCTACTCTAATTTAACACTTATCCACGTTTCTCGCGACCTATCTTAGTATCTCAGTCGCCCGTTAATTCGTACCAACAATCTAACAATCTTTTATTTGACAGAACAGTCTTACCGTTGTAATGCATATTGTAAATACTAATTTTTTCGTATAACTATTTTATGGAAACCGGAATTAAACGAAAAACGCGTAGTAATTTTCGTATATGAAAAACGACTTTCTTATTTAGCGGTCGAATTTCAAAAAAAAAAAAAAAAAAAACCATTTTATTGCAGTTAATCGAAATTATAACAAAAAGGAAGAAACCTCTGTGCAAAATTTCAAGTTTCTAGACCCAGTATAGCTCTTGAGATACAGAAAACGAATCACTGTATTGGCGTTTATATAATAGGTAATTTTATATAACATGATGGTCATTATACGACAAAAAACAAATAGGATTCGATTTCTAAGGGAAAATCGTTCTAAACGTTGACTTTTCTATATAAAACTCGACTCGTTAAAGTCTAAAACTTGCCGAATATTTGTGATAACACTATCTCTTAGTGTCTAAATGATTTGCAATTGTTCGGTAATAAAATATTCTCTAATTTTTATCACGTTTTATTTACTATCTCTGTTGCCCGTATTCGTTGTCTAATGTAAGTATAATTATTATAATACGACGTGGTCGATATTTTTTTTTTATGTAGCTAAAGTATTATTATAAACGATTTTATGTTAATCATGCACCGAACGATAACCCGTAGTTACAATAATTTATTATTACGTTTAAAAGAAAAAATCAACGCAAGAGCAACAGTAACGATAAAGCCGTGTACATTATTTTACTGTACAGATCTTGACGGCTAACTGTTACTGATATAACGTCACGAATTGGAGAATAAATATATTAATATTATTATAATTGTCATTGAAATATTAAATATCTAACCGGAACGTTATATGGCCATAAATCATAAAGACGAGATCGCGCCATATTATATACAAATTGAATAGAATCTAAAGAAATTATCTAGACACACGCGTATTTAAAAATATTGCATCAAAAATTAACGGCTAAACTCTCTCTTTTTTTTTTAATAACACTACGAGAAAAATAATCATATTTTACAGGGAAAATAGTTAACAAATTTTTTATACGTGTTTATGTTTTATCATACGCATATTACATTCCATTGGGTATTTACTTTATACAAGTATAAAATAATATAAATTTATAATAATAAGTTTGAAGAAATCAATATTAATGTTAATTTTTTTTATAAAAAAAAAAAAAAAAAAATAGTTTTCTAGCGACCCCTATCATTTAACGGCTCTCTATGCTACAGCCTTTTCAGCCTATCGGTTAATTAGGCCCTTGTCTGAACCGCCTAAATATTCGCTTGAGTACTGGTCTTAACAAATATGCGTTAGGCGAACACGGACAGAAAAGAGCGAGATTAAGGGAAAATGGCATAACATATGACGCTGCAATATACGCAATTATAATAACAATAGTAACGATTACAACATTACAACATGATACCCAACGTTTTCAAACATGATGTCTTATTTATTTTTCTTGTAACATATTATGATATTAATTTTCATTGTGTTATTGAAGTTTTCTACAAAAACGGCGAATCGAATCAATGTTGCGGTTTTAGCTGTTTACAGTCAATCTTAGTCGCGAGTTACAATAATGCCGATCGACAAATCAATTCACTACGAGCGCAAATACACGACTTTTGCGACATATGATTTATGCTTTCATACAAACACGACGCGCGTAATAGCTTTTATTATAGTTTATAAAATATAGCCATATAGGTACTATCTTTCCTACATGAATTATTACCTGTACATTTAGAGAAAAAAAAATATCATTGTTCTGATGTCTCGCGTATTTGATTTGCTGTTATTTGTACTTCACTGTAATTATTGTTCTTTTATCTTGGCTGATGGATTAATCACGCGGTTAAAAAAGCCACGCACTTTACTTTTACAATGGAACTAATGATTTTGGATTACGAGTGCAACGGAGAAGCTATGAGTTTTATTTAAATGTGTGGTTTTTTTTCATAGCGAATACTTTTTTTA